CTCCGGCCTGACAGGGCATCATCACAGTATGGTAAGGGGCGTAACATTTCCGTCACACGCTTGAGGTATTCGGCCAATCATAACGCACTGGATAGCTGGCCAATCAGAGCACACCTCGCTTTTCAGACCGATGAGCTTTGTACAAATCGACGCGTTTCAGAAAGGCGGGGCATAGAGAAGAAACAATAATGTACAGTATGTGGAAAATAATGTGTTTTTTTAACCTTAAACCGCATAAACGCATTTCATTACACCAAATAATGTTCTTTTTAGCAGCATCATATGACACCTTTAAGTCTTAAAGTCCCCCTGTGGTGAAAATCAAGTTTATATGTTGTTTATTTGTCTATGTGGTGTTTTTAATATATGCTTTTAGACAAACCATGTGCCAATCCATTTATCAACACCATTGCTGAGTATTTTCTCCTTAAAACTGTAGTTTCCCAAAGGCAGTCACAGAAACGCGGTTTGAAACAGCCTTTTTTTTGCTACGCCACAAAATTCAATAACCAATCGCGTCAAGGGATCCTATCCTTAGCATATCATTAACTGTGCTGCAAAGCAGAGGGTCTAGTGAGAAGTACTTTTTCTGTAGATGTTTCGCTAACTGTTAATATTTCCCACTATTTTCATGATGTCATGTGCTGTTAGCGCTTATTTATTTGTATTTAGAACCGCTAACTTGAATAATAACCCGCGGCAGCAGTGTAAAAGTAGCCCGGAGTCAGACGCACATCTCCCGCATTGACAACCGCACGTCACACGCGTATGATTGCAGGCGTGATTTGGAATCACAAACTTGGCTGCATTTGAGTCTTCAAGGCATTTTGAGGACACAACATCGTCAAGTAAGTAAATTTAACGAATGTTACAGTATCCACTGTAGTTGTCCGCTAGTAAAAACAGTTTTATCAGTCATTATCCGTGTACGAACCAGTGCAAACAGATCATGTTACCTCACGAAGTTAGCCATCAGTCTCCTTGCTTACGTTGAGCATACCAGCTTATTTCTGGATCAAACACATATGGCTTAGTTAAACCAATATTTCCACTTGCCATTGCCATTGTATCGCGTTTACTACAGTTCAGTTAGTGGATCAGGAGGCGCTGGCTCATGGCTGGCTGGTGTGACTGAGCGGAGGCGGGGCTAATTTGCGTATTCATAGATCCGCGCATAGTAAATGAGGCAAGGGTGTAGAGTTGCATTCAAGCTATTTTAAGGCATGAGAAAATTATTTTCACAAGAAAAAAATTTAAATATGTAATTTTGATGATCAAATACGAGTTTTAAAGGATACAATTTTTGACTACAGGGGGACTTTAAATTGTACAAAAAAGTCTTATGATTTTAATAGGTCTTAAATTTGGGGACAGAAAGACCAGAATTGCGATATGGCTGAATGTCATGATTAAACTTCAAAAGGCTATGATTTCATTAAATAAACATAAGCGCTGCACTGCTTTGTGTACAGCGTTACCGGGGAAACAGTTATTTTTCTAACAAACGCTCCACCTGCTGGCAGAGAATGAATGTGCATTTTCAATAAAACTGTTGTTTTGTTCAAAGTTCAAACAAATGCAAAAATCTACCCATGTTTTTACCCTGCAAACACGCAGAGCTTTAAATGTGAACTGGTGGATCGATAAGAAGACAATGCATTATAAAAGGGGTGTGCGATATGTATGGTCTGCAGTAATATCGTAATTGTTGTTTTAATGATGTGCAATTTGATATTGTCGAGTATATCGCGAAAAGCAAACAAAACACCTACAGAGTGCGCGCATACATTACGTGATCAAGTCTAGCAAGTTAGACCGTGCGCATTTATAGTGCGTTCTTTCACTGCATGAAGCAGCCCATTAAAATGCATTTAGAATTATCACATAATTCAAGATATGGGGCAGAAAATGTATATATTTATATCATTTCATATAGTTAATCAATATCTCACGAAGAGTGCCTTTTTTTTTTTTCTCCAAAAGTAAGCATGCTTACAAATGTGATATTGATTTTATACAACAGTTCAATAAACAAGAAGTTAATATTAAGAGACTTAAGTTTTAGACACCATATTTCCTGTGTTTGCTCTATTTCTCCAACTAAAATAATTTCAAACACAGTTTGAAAATAAGTTTCAAACAATAAGTTTTGTGTCTCTGAGCAACAGGACAGTGTTTTGTTTCTGAATGAATCAACCGTTTAAATGATTCAGTTCAATCGCAATGACTCTCTTAACAGTAACTTGCTGCCACCTACTGGCCATTTTAATTTCACATTTAAGGTACCTTTTCATTTTTAAAATAATTTCAAACATCAGTTTTCAATGTCTTATGTTTAAAATATCAAAACATTATTTATGCATTTGTAACTGCAGGTTAAAGTTTTCCATGTCCCTCAAAGCTGCCTTAAACAGTGTTTAAATGCATCTAAATGCCACTTCTAATGCAGTCTCTGTGTTTCCTCTGCATTGCAAAGATCATTTTTGTTGATACTGATTACATTTTCTTGGTAACAACCCAAATGCAAGAATTTGACTCAAAAGATGGTGCACACTTTTAGAAAAAATGGTTTAAAGGTAAAAATGCCCATAAAACTTGTTAGAAATGATTAATTTCTATCACTGCTGTGAACTGACGACAACAGAATATGAAGAATATCACAAAATCCAGGAGTCAGCTGCACACGGTGGTTCTTAAGATATCAGCACAATAACACACTCAGCAAAATATCGTCTAATTATCATTATCGCTAAAATCCCAGAAAATTATCGAGATATAATTTTGTTA